GATTAAGATCGAGGCATGACAGTGGTTGGCATAGAGGCAAGTGTTCAGGGATCTGAAATGCTTTCAACTTCGAGTAAAAATTTCCATTTATGTAAACATTTTATGGATATTTAGATGACACTTTTAGAAACATTTTTAATGTTTATTTTGTCTAGTTTCATAGACAATGCATGTTAACTAGAATTTAGAAGTGTTGGATTAAATATGTATGAAGTTTAATTTATGCTGGGTTAAAATTTCAGATTCTGTCCTCCTATTTGAAAATAGTATAACTTGAGCTATGGTGCATGTTTTTAAGTGAAATCAGTGGGGTTTGAAAGGTCTATGAGTCTTCTAATAGTGATCTTTGAAATTTCCCAAAAATATTATCCAAAAAAAAGTTATGCCCGAGTTTTCTGTCCAGCATATTCGAGCAATATTTTCATGCTTCAAACCTCATCGCCGAGACCCCAAATTTTTATATGTGGTACATATATGAATGATTTAGTCCGTGTAAAAATTTCATAATTTTTATTGGACATTTGTTAGGCCAAATAAATTTTTTCTTCCGCTGTTGTTAAATCTGTAATTGCCGAATTGCCTCCAAATCTTTTCCAAAATCAAATTTTGCTATATTTGCCTACGTTTATATGAATAACTACCTTACATTATATTTTTATATGTTTCAAAAAAAAAAATTCGAATTTATAAAATACTTCGGTTAACATAAAAGGGTCCGAACCAAAGAAAGAAATGATTATTATTTTTAATACTTTGGGTTCCGAGAATTCGGGGCGTTACATCTTTCCATTCCACTATATAGTTATCGTATCCAGTCATCTCACAACTTTTCAACCTATATTCAGGCTATGGATAACATAGGCCGATGATGGCTGTGAACAATTGAACTAACAATTTATTCGTTAGGTTGAGATCATGTGTCAAGCATGTGATGAAGCCTCTTCAACTTGCTCTCTTATATAAATACAATCCTCGCTCACTTGAAGGTAAGTTTTAAGTTTAGTAAACTCAATTGTAATCTTGGTAATTATTTGGATCATGGTAACCTAGCACCCATATTTTGTTCAATATTTCTCTCCATACCCAAATATATTCTCATCATCTGGCTTGAGTGTCATAGTGCAAGTGTTGTACCCCATTTGGAGCTTCGATCTGTGCAATCTAATGCTGTCTTGCTACGTATGTAGGCATCGTACTCTTTGACGAGAGGAGTTGAGAACTCTTGATAGTTGGGTCTTGTCGATTCAAACGTCAATAGAAGGTATTAGACTTTATTAATGAGGTTCATATTTAATGTAAATTATATGAGGTTGATGATAAGACTCATCTCTTCTTTACAAAAATATAGAAACCTCATTTTTAGTATAAATTTCTTATTTCTCCATTCTCTCTTATGCTACATATAAATTATATTTGTTTTCTTAATTGTAATTTAGACAAAAATACTTTTTAAAATTTTAACAGTATATTTTTTTATATTTTCTTTTTGTACAAAGCGAATACATCTTAATTATATTTTTTGAATATTGATTTTCCGTTTTCAAAAATGAAATAAATCAAGAAATATAAAGAATATTTAATTAATTTTCAATTATCTTTATTAAATTATTTAAAAACATGTTTTCCCCCATATGTTACTTGTTTTTCAATTGTATTTGCAAAGAAAAACCATATTTCATAATTTTTATCAAAAAGTTTATAATTATATTTTTGTTTAATAAAATAATCTAATTTAACTAAAACTCAGAATATTTATAAGATAGATAAAAATAATGAGATAACGATTTAAAAATAATATAAACGGATAAAATAAAAAATATATATTTACTTTTTTTGACTGTGAGGAATCTATTATGAAAAGAGAACCTTAGGTAATGTTTTTATAATTTTTGAAAAGGGGTGTCTCTATGTTATTTCTAATATTTAAGCAATAAAAAACAAAAGAAACGAAGCATTTTCAATTCTTTTGATAAATATAAAGGATGCTGCAAATTGATTTACATGACATTTTCTTTCTTCTCAAAGCCCAAATATTCGGAAAGAAAATGTTGCGACATGATTACAAAAACTAAGATAATGAACAAAATTAATAAATAAGCACTTTAAATTCTATCTCCATATATAGGAATAAATATACGTTATAAGTTAATAAATAAAAATTTCATTTATTTAATTATTCATTATCTTTGAGAGGGTCATAAACAGATAAACAAAACGAACAAAAAACAATTAAATTAAATAAGCATAGTAAATTGATTAAACTTTACCTCTTTGAAGTCTCAAGAACAATCAAGAAAATAATGCACTATGATCCAATGTGTCCCCAAATTGATTGGGCAAGATAAAGGAATCGTTTCGTGAACAAGAACACAAATACCGAAGCTTGTTCTCATTTCAAGGCATCTATTTAGTATACATTTATGCTACTTAAATAAAGAAAGCCAATTTTTATTTTATTTTATTTTTAAATTTTTATTCCCCATTAGCTAACTCAATCCCGGTAGGCAATTACTATTCAAAGGTATGCTTCAAACATGTCTAAGTTCAATTGATATATATATAAAAAATGGCAAGTCTAATCATATGCATGAAATCAAATAAACATATCATATAAATTACTTCAAATTTAATATAATTATATGCATATTAAAATTAATTTTCATAGGGACATTGATTATCTAAGATGTCGAAAGGTAAATTCTATTTCAAAAATATACTGTAAAACCTCTATAAATAATAATGTAGGATCGAGAAAAATTATGGCTTTAGAAGGGTTATTAATTTATTGTTGAATGAATAATTAATTAATTTATTGATACATTATGTGAAGTAATTTCTGGTCAACATAGATAACATGTCAACTCTTGAATATTTATTCTCGTGATCATGAAAATAGCTTAGATTATTCAAAGGGATTTAGATATATTACCGAACTCATTGAAAACCATACATTTTATGGGATTCAAAGCTTTTTATCGAATTTTAACTACACAATACATCAATTATTTATTTATTTATTTTTTTTGAAAAAAAAAAATTCACTAAAATTCTAGTTTAGTTCAAACCAAATAGGGTCTATATAGGAGTCATTGTTATAATAAATTTACACACTTGAGTTTTGATTATCATTATTAATTTAGTAGTACACTAGTTTGTTTGAGCCCAATTTTTCCACCAAAATACATTTTCAACAGTGATTTAGCATCATTTTAACCACACATTTTTCAATAAAATAATATTATATACAAATAAAAAAAATTTCTTTATTTTTTACCTACACATTTCCCATCAATACACTATTCAAAAATTCATTTTCTTCTCCAAAATGGGGCTCAAACAAGGGCAATATTAGCGCAAGCATAATAGTTACATACAAAAATGACATAAGGGACATGCGGCATTACATTTGCACAATTTCAGTCAATTTGTTTACCTTTACGATCCCATGAGGTGTTGTTGGATTATTTTGATGAAGTTAATATTTAAGCAATGAAAAAACAAAATTTTTTAATTCTTTTGACAAATAAAGAACGATTCATGATTAAGTTATATGTCATGGTTATTTTTTTTATTTTTTATTTTTATTTTTTGGTGTTACATGCATATGTATTTTTCTTCCACAATATTGTGGGTCTCTACCTATCATTTTCTCTTGTCAATTTTCAGCAAAATAAAGAATGATTATATCAGCCAATAAAAAAGTCATTATTTTGAGCGAGGTAATATCACCTATGGTAAGGTTAAGATGGTATGTATAGACAAAAGTCATCATATTACCTGATTGGCTTTATGTATTACTATGAACCTTAGCTTGAATTCTATTGGTGAACATTTATTGACAGTTCAAAAGATTCTTGTAAGATATTGACCATTCAAAGGTAGAACAAATAAGGCTACACATATCATAGTAAAGTCTTGATTATTTCCATGTCCAGATAGTGCAATATATGTGAAAAGTAGCTAGTGGGATGCTGGTAATGTACTTATAGCATGTTTAGCTCGTTGCAATAGACACAATTCTAGTTTATATTTAGCCATTGTTTGGTGGGGATTAATCAGATTTTTATTAGATTTTGATAGAAGTTGATGAAATGTGAGGTTGAACAGTTATGAGACCCATAAAATATGTGGTTGAAATGAATTGTCGATTTTGACTTAGATTAAGATTTAGGTTTTAATCGGTTCCAAACAAGAGCTTATTCAATGATACCAAGCAGGCTGTTATTATCCCAACTGACCTAAGATCAGTATTTGGTACCAGGAGGTTTGAATTAGCACTCCTGTACTCAAGTCAAATTTAGGTAATTCAAATTTGAAAGGCCGATGTAAATGTACCCTTTAGTGCATTTTATTACGGTGGCCTTAGGTTTTGATTATATGAACGGTTTCATCTCCTTTAGCAGGTCAATTTGGCCAGCTTTGATCTTCTCTATCAAAATCACATCACTCACTTGGATTAATTTCCTTTCGTCAAAATCGATATTCATCTATATTATTTCCACAAGGTGACAAGTCTCTCCACGACCCTTTTTTGACCAAAAAAGAAATGCATTCAGCAATTTAGACGTACATGAATTGATGAATGAAAGATAAAGTGAGTTGAAAGATACTATTTAAGTTAAATATGACTGTTAAAAAGATTAGGGTAGTTCCAACTCCTAAATTTTTGGATATTTAATGACTAATTAAGATAGTAAAAGCCACTTTCATGAAGCCTAATACTTCATTTAGTCTTTACTATTTTCCTGTAAAATATTGGGTGGTTAGCTGAAGGTACAACAGTTGAAGTTAGTTGTACTTAGAGTAGCAAACGTTTTAATATAAAGTCTAAAACTGGTGAAGAGTCTGAATCTCAAGAAACTAAGGAAGAAACAAAAGACAGATCAGTAAAGTTAAACTGCTACATTTTTTATGTTTTGTAATAAAGAAAGATAGACAGAAAGCAAGAAAAGATAAAGGAGATTAAAATTATATATGGTAATGGCGTTTATCCCTCTTTCCATACGTTTTTTGTGTGAGCCACTAGTTTATTTAGCCGTGCTTGTTTTTCAAAAGGGTTTGGTGGTTCTTTTCAAAAGGATTGAAGGGGTTATAGGGTTTTCTTTCTTCTTTAATTTGACCCAATTTTGATCCTCCAAAGCTCTTCCTCTTTCTTGAATCTTCAAATATATGTACCTAGCAAAACCCGATGAATTACCACCTTCGGCTGCTATTCTATAGAGTGAAATTTTGCATATGAGATTTACACACACTAACTAGGTTTCATAAGAATGTATAAACAGTTTGTGTACTACAAATGTCCAAGTATACGTATATGCCTGGCTCCCTGTATGCCATTTGCAGAGCCCACCGAAGAACCGATGGCCCTCCGTGTATGGCGTATGAGGAGCCAAGCATATTCACATATCGTATACACGGTAACTCTCTTTCTCTATGCCTCGCTTCTATCGTCTTCGCTACAATTGTATTATATTTTCATGGAAGATAAATAAATTTAATTAAATCCAAGTAATCCCTTAATCTTCTTTCCATCTTTTATGTAATAAGTCTTGAAATTTTTGTTTATCAAATATTATCTTGTTACTAAAAAACATATGTTAGCTGCAGAAAATGATCTAGAGTCGTAAGAATGAAAGTGAAATATGCTTATGGGAAAATGATTCCATCTGACAGAGAATTACACGACAGTTTTCCATTAGACTTGTGTCAAATCACTTCACGAGGAACAAGGAGCCTGTGCTGCCTGCACAATTATATGTTGTTCATGTTCCGTTAAGGGTATCCTCATTCTTTATAAACAGACAACATGAAAGTTACAAATCTTATGATACCCAGTCACTTTACAGTACATCATTTTGATAGAAATCTCTGTTGTATTATCATCTTGGTGCACCATTTCCTTGAACTTTTTTTCATTGTTGTGTCTAATGTGTTAGTGGTTTTGATAAAAATAAGATTTTTAATAGATTTTGATAAAAATTGATAAAATACATGGTTATGACTTGATAAAAATGTAAGTCCCATGAAATATATAATGGTGGCTGTATAGCATCAACCTTGTTCAAGTTCATCTAATCCCTCTTTACTTTATTACATTGATAAAAGAGGCCAAAGGACAATGTATATTTTATATTCTTTTTACTGAAATAGTATAGATAGCTGTGCATCCACAGATGTATACGGCTATGATGGAGTACTACCATATGCCACATAGTCAATTGGATGAGTTCATGACTTTCTAGGTTAATGTGTAGATAGAATAGAGAGGTAGATGTACTTAAAAGTTTAGGTTCATCTGCATAGAATTTGGGATAGCGCTTAGCCAATAAACGTGTATTTGGCCGTCTTGTGTATGTATGGGCAGGGCTTAAGCAACTAATATGAGAAAGCAAAAGGGAATTGCAACCGTGATTGTGGCTTTTCTGTAACTAGGGAATCTCATTTTACTAAGAAATGAAATTGTCATCTTTTTATAAAATCACTCAATTTCGAGTTAAAGCCATATTAATATAAAGAAATAGATGAGCGGACCACAGAAAATATGGTCTTTCTCAAGAATTCATGGCATCCATGAACCTATCGATTTTTATCGTTTTTTTTTTTTTTCAATGAACAAAATAAAATCTAAGAAATGATCGCACTCTGTCTCTTCTCTCTCCCCATTCTCTCTTTCACCCACTAAAATAAAATACATGCAGTGCTATTTGCATCTTTTTCTTTAGTTGGTAGGTAGGGTAAATTTTACAGTCAATGCAGGTCAAAAGGATAGTTGGGATTCTGACATAAAGAAAAAGTGATTACTTTGAAGATATCCTCAGACCAATTGGATTTGGCAATGATTCAATCACTTAATCATCTCCCAAACACAAACCCTACCCATCAACTCCGCAGCCTAGCTAGTATGCACTAACCAGAACATTCCCCCTATAAATCAGCTTTGTCTAAAAAGAATAAAAAGAGAAAAAGAGGAAGAGACATTGTGCTCAGACTGTGCTTAAAAGTAGATTCTATCCTCGCACCCCAACACAAACTTCAATGCACTTTGTTGTTTTTAATTGCAAGGAGAAACCATTTCAAGAATAATGCATTTCAGACTTGGAGTTTCGAGAATTTTGATTAAGCTTCAGTGCCATTTATTCATGGCATCACTATTCATTTTGAAGGAGGGAATTGGTGAACACGAAGGGTTTTGTTTTTAACCTATCTGATCCAAGTGATAATCAATTTTACCCAACTAATCAATAAATTTGGTATAGAACGCAGGAAGGATTAAAAAATGTATCCTAGCAAATTTTTGAATTTTAAAATTCAGTAAATGTTATTCTTTGTGGAATGTGTCGCTTGATAAAAAATTTGGACCTCGCACCGCCAGCGATTTTTTCTGCCTAAATCTTGTAGTGCCAGTGAAGGAGCAGCTTCAATTTATTTGAATTATTATATAAAAATTCAGCCAAATGGCATCAAATTCTGCCTTCTACTCTTATTTTTGAAGGAGAACAATTACATTATTGGAATAGTCAAGCAATTACTCTGAAGCCTCAATCGTTTTGGAAGGATTTTGACAATCTAAACATGGAAAAAAGCGAAAAAGTTGGCCATTTTTCTACACCAGTTTCAGATCGTGAATCAAATCAAAAGTTGTGGAGGTACTGATAACGGTAAAATCTACACTTTTCTCAACCTTGTTACAGTACTTTGTTAGTGTGTAGGATTCGATTTCTGTTGATTTTTGGTTCAATGTTGTTGTTTTAGGAGAAACTTGAGCTCGAGGATCATTTATGATAAATATGATGAAGATGAGAAGAAATGAGTATATTCAAGTGAGGACGAAGTTGGCAAGGAAAAAAGTCGAGTTCCCAAAGGCTGAAGAAGATAAGAAAGTGATACGTAACATTTTGGAGCAAAGAGTCCGTTTGATTGTAAAGGTAGAAAATGTAAACCAATTCCATGTAAGATGGAAAAGAAAAAACTACCAAAATTATAAGAATTCGATTTCCACTCAATTAGCCAAAAACATACTTTAAATGTTTGTACTTTGGAATTCGAACATTATTTTCGCTTTAGTATCAAATAGCCAAAGTAGAAAACGAATTTCTCGGGTGTGACATTTTTCATGGAATTTAATGCTATCAAACGGACCCTAAATAATTTTGCTAGAGCGAAATTACTTTCCCTTGAGTAAAACCAGAAAAAAATGTCCATCTCTCTCTCATTCAAGTGAAGAATGAGAAATTGAGAAATCTTGATTTTCACTAGAGCTAAGCAAGGCTCACTCGAGCAAAACTCTCCCCTGAGCCCGCAAAGTTGTATCTGTTTAAGGAGACTTGAAGATTAATGTTGTTCAAAATACACATGAAAATTCTATGATTTTATGAACCCCACACCTATATATACCTAAGTCTTATTTATTAAAAAGAGTAGACATTCTTGGAGATAAATACATAAAAAATAAAAAATGTTAAATCCTAGACGTAGGTTTTGAAGAACGAGAAGAAGAATAAAAGTGCGGGGTTTTGAAGTTCGTGTTTGGAGATTCTACATCTATTATTCGTTAGCTATAGTTTTCTCAATCCTAGTGTTGCTGTTCTTGGTTTGTAAGAGGTTGTACCATTTGAATATGAGTCGATAAATTTCAAATAACTAGGATGAATTCAATTCTAATTTTTCGTTTTCGAGTTAAAGTATGTATTCCCCATTGAGTATTTTTTTTTTTATTGAACTTATGCGTTTTTACATGAATAATTTACTTAAAGAACCATTCTAATACGGAGAGGTAAAATATGTGTTTTAGCTTCAATAACAAATTCCATAGACTTTCAATAGAGGATATAGATACACTATTATGGTCTGTATGATCCTTAATGATGTTTGATTGTTGTTAATGTACTGTTGTGGGTTCACAATTCTCACATGGATAAAGTTAATTCATGCACTCGTGAGACTGTCAAATAATTAAGATACAACGATCTTCAGCATGAATATATATTGTCAATTACGAGATTTCGTAAACTATATTGAATTAGTATAGGCGAAATATGAGGCCCAGTTAACGGAAAAACTGAGCTGAAAGAATTTTTATTGAATGGCAATGTGAATACATAGGATAGACAATAGGAATATTTAAATACAGTTACGTTGACTCAGCTGTAAATGAAATAAAATAAAAATCCCATAAATGTGCTCTGGTTTTGCAATAGATATGCTTTCATTTTTCGCATTTGACAGCTTGATAATAGAGGATCCCTTGTTGCATTTGACAATTTGATAATAGAGGACCCCTAATTAGTTGGAGTTTGTTGAAAACCTTTCCTTATTTGTAGGCTCGATTGGATCATCATCTTGTTTTGAATTTGTTACCGTTCGAGCTTGAAGATCACTTAGCTTCTCTCCACTGATTGAGGCTAGATTGTGAGTCTTGACCTTTTTTACTCCAAGAATCTCGTGAATCCTTCCTTGTTTCTCCAGTTGAATCTCACTGTTTTTGGGAGAGCTGGGCAGTGATAAACACCTTCCTGTAAAATCTATTGGGGTCGGAGGCAAAGTTTGTTGTGTAAGTAATGAAGAGCTACTTTTGATATTGGTTTTGTAAAGAGGTCTGCAACTTGATAATCGGAGGAGACATGTTGAGTAACAAGTAGTTCGTGTGCAATGCGTTCACGCACAAAATGATAGTCCAATTCAATATGTTTGCTTCACGCATTGAATACAAGATTTACTGTCATATGAAGAGCACTAAGGTTGTCGGAGTACAGTATGGGAGAAGATAATATTATAATGTGAAGTTCGTTGAGAATGAAGGACATCCATAAGAGTTCAGCTATTGTGTTAGCCATTGTGCAGTATTCTACTTCCGTGTGTTGATCGAGAAACTGTATGCTATTTTTTTGCACACCAAGAGATAAAGTTTCCTCTAAGGAATGTACATAGCCAATAGTTGAGTGTCTCGTTGTAGGACACCCTGTCCTATCTACATTTGATAAAGCAAATGGATCAAGTGTAGTATGGGAAGAAAAGTGTAATCTCATTTCAATCAACCCTGCTTTTTGGCCAACGCCAAAAACAGGGGCGCTATGCTGGAGGGGGCTGTTCCAACATGGTGCCCCTATTTTCTACCCTACCCCTTTGGCTTTTTCCCATTTCAATTGTTCCTTTAATATATAGTAGACTATGTTGAACCATTTTTAAATGTGTCATTGTGGGTGCATGTATGAGAATATCAGGGTGAGCGAGTGTTGTTCACAAAATTGTTTTCTTTCGATTTGTATCCACAAGTGTATGGTTCGCAACAAGTAATAAAGTGAAAATAGAGTTCGAATGTCGTTCCACAGAGATTGAGTAGCTTAACTTTATCTATTTTAACCTTAACCGAAAATCAAATTATCCAACAAGATAAATGTAACTTGATTAATCCTAACATAGATTGAATATGCAATTTTATATGAATTTAATGAACTAAAATACAAAGTTGTGTTTTAAATGTAAGATTGATGTAACTAATGAATGTAAAGTGCACTAGAATCACGAATTTCTAAGCAATGCTCACTTTTAACTCTAGTTTCACAAATTGACAGCACGATGAATTTTTGAAAAAATCAATGCTTCTAAATCTATCCAACAATCTCTCTCGAGTAATGTTGAACCTATTCCCTTATACAACCAACCTATATCTGTTGGGTTTTTTGATACCCAATAATTTGGGCGATGATTTAAAACAGTTGTCGGATTATTTATCGACACCATGGACTTGGCTCGGCTCGGAGACGAACTACACTTTTGGATGGCTCGGGTTTGGGTTGGATGATTATTTGGTTAGTTGGACCATTTAGTGATTAACATGGAGTTGAATATTGGCCCATTAGTTTAGGTTAATTGATAGCCCTCTTAGTGAACCCTAGGCTCAATTGGAGTGACCTAAACTAACATATATATATGTATTTATCTCATAGCCGTTTTGTGTGTGTGTGTTGTAGCAATGGAAATGAGAGTTGAGAAAAGAGAGGCAGCCGAGAGAAAGAGAAGCCATGTGAGGTTGTGAGTGAGAATCAACCATTGTGATATCTCTGTCTTCCTCTCCATACCTTTGTGGATTGTTAACACCACCACCCTTCTCCTTTGTAGGGTTAGAGAGAAAAATGGCTGTCCAAAGTGAAGGCAAAAGTCTTGGGTCAAGTTGAGGTAAACTGGTGTTCGTTTGGTTATTTTCTGAGCCCGGAATCAAGATTTATCGAGGGAATTACACTACAAATGGTATCAGAGCTTGTGTTGTTGATAAATATGTGATTTTTTGGGCTAAAATCGAGCTGGAAGTGGCCAGAAATTGATCTGAAAAACAGGCAGACGAAATCTGGGCAAATTTTTGCAAAACTGGACAGATCTATTTTTGCATTTTCTGGTGAAACCAAAAGGAGTTTGGCAAAACGGAAACCACCATTGGACTGTACAGGTGGAGACGGTTCAGAAACGTCGGGGCGTTACCGGCGCGTGGGAACTCCGGTGAGGTGCGTGAGGGTGCGTCGGCCGGAATTTGGCAATGGTGTCTTAAGAAAGAATGTTGCTAGTGACGATATGGACCCTGTGGTGTTGTCAGATTTTAGTTTTGAGCAATACAGTGAAAGTTTGACGATTTTGCCCTTGGACGTTTGGGAGCCGGGTGCTGTTTTCTTGTTACTGTGGTTGCTGGTGACTTTAGGATGAATAGGGATAATTCTGAAGTGGTGAATTTGCGTCTCTCAATATTTACGGACCTTCAGGCGTGGTCCGCTCGGTATCGTATTCTTTGCCTTTTTATTATTACAGTTAAAATTAATATGTAGGTTAATTATCTATTTTTCGCATTAGAAGTTATCGTGTGATATGATGTTAGGTTTGGGGTTACTGTGAAGGGGTACATGTTAATTAGTTGCCTTAAATTATCTGTGAATTTGTCACCAAATTTTCCATACCGATAGAATTGTATGTGACCTTAGAAAAATTTACTTGACTATTCTATGTGAATTATGTGTCAGTACTTTGCTTGTGGTCATTATTTGGTATTATTGGCATGTATAGGTCTAAAGCAAGTGCGAAAAATAAAATATGGTTTAACTGTGGTAAAATTTGGGCGTAATTGAAAGAGATTGTCCTAAGATGATAATAAAAGGAAAGATGAGGATAGAGACGAGGCGAATGTGACTTTAGGGTCAAATAGTGATCCTAGTGAGGTTTATTGAGAGAATAAACCTGGTTCTTGCATTGCATCTGTATGTAATCCTTTCTGCATGTATGTTGTCACTTAATTTTGTTACAATGTTGATGTTACACTTTCAATTTGTTTGATATGTGTAATTGCATAAATTAGAGTGATTTATTACTGTGTAATGTGTTTGCATGCATAGTGGGTTGAGATTTCGTACTCTATTTGCTCTGTGAGTGGTGTGAGAAGAAAATTGGTCAGTCACTTTTCTCCTTTATTTTTGTGAGCCTGTATGGTTTGTGAGATTATGTAAGGCAGCTATGTCAGGGTTACCTTCTTTCTCTTTGTGAGCCTCTTTTGTGAGTGTAGTGAAGTAACCGACTCTTTCTTCGATTCTCTTTGAGAGTGCCACCTTCACTATTTTCTTTGTGAATTTTGAGGAGCATTGGTGAGTGGATTAACCTTTGTGGTCACCAAAAGGTGTTGTTTTGCCGCAGTGAGTTTGTGATGTATTAGTAGTGAGTTGGATGTCTTTTGGTAAGGTGGAGTATAGATACCTAGATGTGCATTGGTGATATGCACGGGGAATGTGGAGTGTGACATTTGGATCATGAGTGGAGATGTGATCAAATGTGTAGAATCCTTTATTTGTGAAAGAGACCCTGATCAGGTGGAGTGTGAGAGATGTACTTCTATCACTTCTGTAAGGTGGAGTCCCATTATTCACGTAGGTTGGGAGAAGTGATGTGGTGATAGAGGATTATCCCGAGAACTTAGGACTATTGTGACTTACCAGTTAGACATGAGTTGAGTGATCTGTTTAGTA